TCGCAAACATTCGCGCTCATACATCTACTCATTATTCCTGTAACTTCAGTTCATATGAATTCGCTATATTTCGCTGGAATTTGCTCTCAATCTTCTAATCTTCATACTGCTGTTTCATCCAAATGTTCGGCCAAATGGCAGCTACGAAAACCGATTTCCGAAAGTGCGTTGTTAGCGGTTGTAAGAACTGAACTGAACTGTTCTTTCTCAGACAATAAAACAGATATTGAAAAGGCTTTCACATATGTTCACCACATTTGGACCAATATTTCTCCCTGTGTTTGGTCTCGAGTACTGCATTCGGAGAAATGAATGTCCAGTGATTCATCATCCTGTAAATTCAGTTCAGTTCTTACAACTATTAACCATGCCTTTTCGTGCGCCGGTTTTGGTTGCTGTCTTTTTGCTGCCCATTCGGATAAAAGAGCCAGATGAAGATTGAAATGTTGAGAACAAACTCAAGCAGAAGATGGAGAATTCATATAGAGTAGTGTTGGGAGAATAATGAGTGAATGCATGAGCGCCAATGTTTGCGACACCCAGCTATATCACTCAGTTTATCTCTAACCGTCGGCGATCATGATCACGGGGTCCCCAGCCAGGGAGCCTAACGGGACGTATGTGACCTTGTAAATACATGAAATACATGAAAAAATGCGGTTTTCGTACAGACTGAAACACTCATCAGAAGGGTGGGTCAGTTTTCAGTTGCGTAACTCGATTGTACCACAGGGTTTAGGGATACAGTAGCTTATGAGTGTGTAGAAGGATGTCGCAATCAGATATGCTGGTGACCCTATGTAACAGAATAATCTAACAGTTCGGGATAGGTACATACAAGTATATCTTATCGATCAAGATTTGGAATTGTTTGTAACCAGTGTTAGGCACATGATTTCCGTTGAGTCGAATCATTGCTTTTGTCATCTGGCGTTCCGTTCGCCTTACCACTTTGTGGTTTTCTGTGTTGTTTGTTGATTGCATTTTCTCGCTGCATCCCCACCACCACCACCCGTTCGATCGTTACAGACGCTAATATGCTGTATTCGGAGCATCGTCCCTGCATTGAATCAGTCCGGGACCAAATCTACGCTGGCCTCGAATTGCATTGTAATCGTTTGTGGCCTACCGCCCCGCATGGTCGCATGGGACGCCTTCTCCTACGGATCCCCGCGCTACATCTTTTGGCCGTTCAGATTCGACAATTATCATCCAACTCGGCGATTGCGAAGCTCCATGCGGAAGTGAATCGGTTGTGCACACAAAACACGCCCTGTCCGCTGGTCAGTTCTGCCCAGGAGGCCCTGTTCACATAGAACACATTCTTTATTATTATCATTACTCTGTCCATTACGGTGATGTCATCATCTGGGACGACTCAAATCCGTTCCAGTTTTCGCATTGATGCACACACGCACACAGACATAAACCAACCGAGGCTGTGTTAGTACCCTACCTATTTCCGGTTCGCCCCATCTCATCTCTCCTTTCAACTGCCGACCGACAGTTTTTAAGCCAATACGATCTCTCCTCGTTCTCAATTCTTTTTCTTGCGTCCCACTGTTCCATCTCTACCGGGATCGTGTGCTGTAGTTGATGAACCGGTCTGAATGATTTCATTGCAACGATTCCGCGTTTCTCGATACCCTGCCTGTTGGTGCACTTGTTCACGCTCTGAACGCGTGTTCGGTTGCCTGTGTGAAATCCCCCCCGCCTCAACCG